GGGGTCAGTTTCCTTTTTTTTTCTCTCTCTGAAGAGCAATTTGGTTGTTGAAAAAGAACGCCAGGGCAATGATATTATCAAACATGGATGAACACGCACGACACGTTGTCTGTGAATATTGAAAAGCTAATCCTGCTAAGCAAAACTGCCGTCAGCTGACAAAACGCCTTTTTTTCATTTTGTGTGTGTGTGTGAGTCTGTGTGTTTGTTTGAGTGAGTCTGCATGTGTGTGTGTGTGTGTGTGTGTGTGTGTGTGTGTGTACACGTGGTGGAACACCAAACCAATGTGCCAGGATCTGGACCATAAAGATGTATCCTATCTTATCTTATCTTATCTTACACACACTCTAAAACAAGAAGAGGGGCACAATCAGGAGTACAACCGTATTGCTTACCTTCTGACCGGAAAACCAATAACAATTTTTCTTTGATCTATATATTCGATTTTTAGAAAGAATCTTCAGTGTATGTTGAGATCTTACTCCTGCTATATCTTTATCTTTGTCTGAGATTTGGTTGTTGTTGGGTTTTTTGTTGTCGTTGTTGTTGTTGTTGGTGGTGGTGGTGGTGGTGGTGGTGGTGGGTTTTTTTGTTGTTGTTTTGTTGTTGTTTCTTTTTTGTATTGTTTCCCAAGTCGTGAAAAATGTCATGTGTTTCTAGAAATTGTAACTTGTCATAAACTTCCATGTGGGCCCAGTAGCTACAGTCAACGTTTGCTCATGTACTCACTTTATAATTGAAATACCCAGCTTGGTCTCTCTGCCTTATCTGTCTTTTTCGGCCTCCCTCTTTTTACCTCTGCAGATCTTCGGGTCGTGCTCCTATTTACGTGGTAAATATATGTTAAACTGAACACTGAACACCTTTATGTAAGGTCGTGGGTGCGAATCCCGTCTGCGGCCTGACGTTGTGTCCTTGGGAAAAACATTTTGCACGAATTGTCCTCACTTCACCAAGGTGGGAATGGGTACTATAGAGAGTGATGCATCTTGTCAGTCTGTTAGTGTTTGAAGCTGAGAATGTTTCTGATTGATCTATGGTCTGCAGGGGGAAAAAATAATAAGATATTATGTAAAGTTCACAGAGCTTGCTGTCGAGCGGCAATATACGCTCTACTAAAGCAATTTATTATTA